TTCCCATTGGGAACCTGCTAGCACTAAGTTGCTAACTGGTTAGCAAGATGCTTCTGACAAACTGGCTACAATCAAACCTGCTTGCAAACCTTCCGCCACAACAATCCCGCCCCCTTGATAATCGACCAATCACATTCACTTTATTCACTCGTGTAAAGTTCACTCGGGAGAATTCGGAAATGCAACGTTTTGAACAGCCGCTTCCCTACGACTTTAAATGTCAAATGTTTATGCATTTTTTTTTTTTTATTCTTGCTCTTAGTGGGTCGTTCTGTCAGCTAAAAGCATGTTTTAGAGTCTCTATAGTCCAGTTAATGATTATCCATTAATAAATAGTTGATGATTATTTCAATAATCGATTAATCGGATTGTTTTAGCGTAATAAATATTAAATCCATGACTGGCTGTAGTTTTACAAACGTTCGGGATTGCATTCTTTTTCTCATTTTTATGTCCAAAACTTGTATTTTGCAACAATAATGGAACAAAATACCCTCCATAATGAACGATCTGCTGAGGCTGGAGCTGATCAGAAATGCTGGGATCCTACCAACGGTTTTAAATGTTTTAAACCAACATGGCGCTCCAAGGTAACCCCAGGCTTCTGAAAGCCGTTTATAGCTGATGGCGTTTTCAGTTCATCCAGCTGTTTCAAAACAGATGATGTGTATCAGAGTAAAAGGTGATAAAGATCAGCATCCGTCTTTTATGCTTGATAAAGCTCGCTGTACCTGCATTCCTCTCTGCTCTCTAGGCTTTTCATCTCCAGGATCGTCACCTGGACGCCTTATTAGAAAGTCAAAATGTCTTTTTTATTTTAAGCTGTAGTTTAGAATGTTAAACGCAAAAACATCGGTTTCTGTACTGTAGAGTAAAATGAACTTTGCTTGTGCTCTAAAACGCTGCTGCATGTGGTCCTGAAATTTAAGGAAATTTTTAAATTGATTAAAAATAATTTGTTTTTATAAAGAGGTGATAGAGATGCTCTGTCTGGCCCTCGTTATTTCGTTTTAGGGAGGTTCAAAGAGGATCACTACTTTATCCATTTTCTGTCCTGAACTCCTATCATGGGGAAAGTTTTATATTTTAATGTTTCATTCATTGTTTTTCCTCCAGTCTGTCCTGCTTCCTATAAACGCGATGTGCGACTCCAAACGGATTCTTTTGTATTTTCCCCCAAAGCGGATGTTTTACTTTGAAACCGCGTCTCTCTTCCTGTCCGACCAATGAAATAGTTGCTGAATTGCTGCATAGTCTGACTAAAATAGACCTGGCCTCTAGTCGGAGCTACGCTGCCCCCTGCAGGAAATCGTGTCATGTGTGATCATCCCCATTAGCCCCATTTACCATTTTGAAACGGTAAATGGAGCTAATGGGGATGGATGGACGGTAAATGGAGCTAAAAATTTGCAAAAATAGCCAAGGCAGCGCGTTTCACTTTACTGAGCTTCATATTCCTCTGCTACTCATTTGGCTTCTGGATAGACGAGTCCGAGTAGCGCCATCTCACTGCGGAGCTGAGTCCCACCTGGTTTTTAGACGTACAGTGTGAGCAGGTAGATCGCATTATAGCGTCGGGTCATACAATGCGAGAACAAAAATCGTGAGCTGTGAACTTTTAAACCCTGCGTTTTCGTCGTAAAGTGCGAGCTGTAGCTGCGAGCAACGGTTGAAAATATCGTACAGTCGATGCCCGGCTTTACAGAAAATGGCCTAAAAAATCTTTTCTTCAGCAACTGAATGATAACAAAACACATGTATGAGAAAAGCTCAAGGAAACTGATTCATTCTTTAAAGAAAAAAATCTGCAATAAAAACATTTGATCATTTCCAGAATTTGGTTTCTTTAAATCCGAAGATTCTTTTCAGATTCACTGGATATTAAAGTCTCCATGACATTGTTTGTCTTTATTGAAGCGGTTCCCAATAATCCTTTATTGGAAACTCAATCTAAAAAAAGAGAATAAAAGAAAAAACACATATATATGATATAAAAAAACATCTAACGTAAATCTGTTCTTTTTTTGTTTTTCTGCAGTCTTGGACTCACAACATCTCCAAGGAGAAGGAGTTTCTCCGTAAGCTGGTTAAAGCCAACGTTATCACGGATCTCACCAAAGGAATCTGAGTTTACACCCACATCCTCCCTCTGCCGCTTCCACGGAAGACCGACCTGAAAGCTGGAACGCAGCGAGAACCCCCTCAGGGCGGGGGGTTGATGAAAGATGCTCTTGCGTGCCTTCAGAACTGAACCATGACTCAGTAGGACCGGACCTGCCGGCGGCGGCGTGCCAAGCGGCCGCGCCGCTTCAGACGTACTGTATCAGTGTGAGGACGGCGGCCCTGCAGGCTCTCTGCTCCTGGACCCGGGGCGGCGTGTGGGGGACGGGTCGCGCATTAGCAGTGCCAAACGCGCCGGGGAGCCCCCCCACCCCCCTCCTGTTTTGCCTGAATGTATTCTCTTTACTCTGTAAATATCAAAGGTTTGTACTGTGCTTTTTACCGAGCTGCAGTAGCTCCATCACCTCATCCGCCTCCTTCCAATCATGGTGTCATTGAGTCCGAGTCCGTGTCCCGACCCGTTCGCAAATCAATCTTCACCTCCAAACGGAACGTTTGAACATTAATCACCGTCAAAGGCCTGTTTGTGTTGGATGGAGATGTGGTTAGAAAAGCTCTAATTGAAAGTGGCCTCATGTTGCAGAGCAGGTTTACAGCCATTACACCTCCTTATTCATCATGTGTCTCAGCCCCCCCACCCCTCCTCCCCAGCCCAACTACATATCTTCTTCTTCTTCTTCTTCCTTCATATCTTCTTCTTCTTCTTCTTCCTTCATATCTTCTTCTTCCTTCTCAGCCATGGAGGTCATCTGGCTGCATACCTGAGGTCAGACACCATCAAAGTCTGAAGTTTATAATGAGGAAATGAAGCAAATTTATTTAATGATGCAACAATCTGTGC